AAATGCTTCTCAAGGAAATGTCCATAGGCCTTCGATTCCCAATCGATTTTAGACCTCAAAGAATTATCCAGAAGGGTAAGCACCCTTATAATACTTTTCCCAGGTGGGTTTTAGTCAGGTTATAGCGGCAACCTCCAAGAGAGTAGGTGAAAGGGGACCACGAGGGTAACTCCAAAGCATGTAATTCCTTATTCCACAAATGCACTGCAGACAAAAACATTGCCATATCCAAAAATGACAAATCGCATCGAGATAGGTGTAAAAAATCAAAAATCCCTACATCTCTCCAGTGGTTCCCAAACTTGGCTTCTACTCTATCAAACCACCTAATAAATGAAGGTTTTTGGAAGGAGGACCAGTTCGGTATACTCTCGAGACCATATTCAAAAAATTAGTCCGAACTTCGGGGTGGTGAATAAGTGTTGGGCTATTCGAGAGGGTGAAGGAAGAAAAAGTCCCACTACTAGAACGAATAGGACCCCCAAAACCAAAATTAACACCATCGGCGGTGTAAGGAATGAGTACCTACGTCTCAGCGACTTTACGAGAAGCTTCCTCCATTAGAGGGACTGGAGCAAACTTCTGGTTATTGATCTCCAGAAGGTTAGCCGTCAGCGAAGGAAGAGGTGGAGCCGAAAAATCAGAAGACTTGGACGAGGTTGCCATTTCAATAAGCTAAGGAAAGCAGAAGGATAGAGGTTAAAAGGTGGGGTAGCAAGGACGAAGGCAAGAGCTCAAGGAGGAAGACGAAGTTGCAAAGAGGTAAAAAATTCGCGTAAAAAACCGGAGTAAAAAACTAATAGAGTTTAAGGGAAAGCTACCTAGGGTCTTTGGAAACGGCGGAAGCAAGGGCAATTAATGTGGCTTATCTTGATGAGCGGCGAGCCTAGCGAGACGGCGACATAAAGCAAAAAGAAACCCTAAAAACCCATAAACCCTAAGACCCCGAAACCCTAAACCACTAAATTATTGTGGGCCTCCAACGAGCGCGGAGAATCGTGTTGAAAGAATATAAACGGAAACTATTTATATTCTTCCAAGAGAGCATTTTGTTAGTGAGAAATCTATAAAAGGATCGAGAAAGTGAAGGGAAACAAAAAATCGAGAACTATACAAGTGATTAACAAGTCGATGCAATTGCTAAAACACTTGGTAAACACAAAGACAAAAACATATCGAGAATTGGAATCGAAAATCGAGGGAATAACGCTTAACGTCCGTTGGTGAAGAAAATCAAGAAAACAAAATGCAGTAACGTTAAGGATATCGAGAATCAAAAGCAAATCCAAAATTCTCGAAGTTGCGAAATCTAAATCGAAGGAAAGGCTAATATACATGAATATCGAAATTTTGGCTAAGAAGAACGGTCGACATATACATCGAACATAGTAAGCGGTAGCAAAAGTCGAAGGTCAAGGAGCGGTTACCTCATTCATGGGAACGTGGATACGGTTCTAAGCGCAGAGCTAGGAACAAAGCTGCAAAAGACGTGCACAGAGAACGTGGTAGTAGTCTTCGTTAACCGCTCTTAAGAAACTACTTGAAAAGACAACTATAAATAGAGCAAAGGATGAGAGGAAAGGGGAGCGAAAAATTGGCGAGAGAACAAAATCATTAGTGAGAAGTCTACCGAGAAACGACGAACATCATGAAGCTTCGACAATCTGGATTTCCATGCTCATTGAGTACCTTTACCGTTTTCTGTATTTTCCTTGGTAATTTACTTTGATGCAATTTATCTTTAGTAATTTTATGTTTACGTACTTTCGATTTTTTGTCATTTCGATTCAATGAAAGTTAAGTTTCGCGTTTAAGTTTCCTTGTCATTTAACATTAATGCAATTTTGATTTCGAGTTATTTATATTTTACTGCACATTTGATTTGTCGTCATTTATATTTCCGCAAACTCGATTTCCTGTTATTTACATTTCTATTGTTTCGATTCCGTCTTTTATACTTAAAGCGAATTTAAGGTCTCCGCATGTTACGTTTCTTTGCAATCTAATGTTCAAGCATTGCTTTTCGATTCCATAAATTTCTTGCTTTCTTTACTTGAGCACTTTAAATATAAAACACCAAAAATAGTATCTTTGAAATCGGTAAAATTCGATCCTCATACGCATCTCGATTGAAAATTAATTTGTTAACCTAAGTAAAAAGAACTTACGTGGTAGAATTTTGATTAGGATCAAAATATCTTAAGAGATCGAAATCGATCAAATTCCACCGAAAACAATATCTTAATACCTATTAGTGCAAATTATCAAATTGTACTAAACCTTTAAAATGAAATTATAGAATTAAGCTTGGAGACGTTGTAGATTATTGCTATTTTTGAAATTTAGTGCATCGAACTCACTAAATATTAAAAAAAGAAAAAATCATACACAAAGTATAAGAAAAGAATAATAGATTTGATAAAGAAGTTTTTTATTTATATATATTAACTTAAACATGAATATATCTTTATAAGTGAGTTTTTTTTTTAATATTCAATAGAATTTCACCCACAATAATGATTCAAATCAATATGTCTAAGTTCATCTTATGAAATCATTAACCTTATTATTTATTATAGTCTTTATATAAATATAAAGAAAACGACAACAACAAAAAGTGAGAAATTTGAATTAAAGTGATTGAAAACTTACAAGACACTCTTTGAATAAGTCATTTGACGTGTGAAATGTGTTACACGGATTTCATTTAAAGAATTTATTTTCCTAACCTTTTTTTAGAAATTCAAGATAAACAAATCCCAAGTTTTCTAAAAGATGATCTAACTTTGACAGAATACTTTTTCATTACCTGACACGTGAAAAAATCATAAAAGAAATGTTGATATTGACGTCGAAATCTGAATTGGATCACCTTTTCATGTGTGATCAGCGTCTCTAAGAGAATAATTATGTTTTATTTTAAATTAGTGTTGAATTTTAATGAATAACATTAGATCATATTAAATAGAGTTGTTACTACGAATTATTTAATAATAAAAATAAATATTTTGTTATAAATTTTATATTTAAGTTATTTATAAAAATTTATCTAAATAAACAATTTTAAACAACTCAATTATAAATTTTATAATAAAATATTTAATTTTATTTT